TATTATTGCGGTTTTTTAAAAATTTTTTAAAAAACAATAAAATTTAATGCACTTCCGCATTAATTTAATTGCTTTGACATTTCGACTACAATCAAATACAGCTTAAGAGACGAGGTAATTAAAATTGTAGTCGAAAGAGACTTTTTTCTTTAAAGGTTCATTTCCAATCACATAATTCCACCATTGTTAAAAGTAAGATCACTAATTAAATCGAAAAAAACAGAAAATATTACTAAAGAATATGAAAGAAAGTTATTGACACATGCCCAAAACAAAGTAAGAATGTTATAAATAAAATTTACTTTTTATTTTATTTATGGCATAAACATATATTATGTTTGAGGAGTGATCTTGATGTCATGCTCATTTTCCACCTTTTCTTTTAAATTTCTGTCAGAATGGAATCAATTCTTTTTGTTTTGTATTATGATATTACGGTCAATGGAAGTATTTGTCTTTCTTTTTTTTACCTCGTCCTTCCAAAGAAACTCCCCATTATTCTGCAAACAGTGCAGTTGGGAATGCCAGTCTCTGCCTCAATCTCACAATATGTCTTACCCAGTTTTACTAGGTCCACAGTTAAATTACGTTGGGGTTTACATTACAGTCCAGTGTCAATCTCCTTTTGCCATCTTTCTATAAAATGAATAAAAATTAGAAAAAATGAGTGACTTCTTTAATTTTGTATTTTTTATCTATTTTTAAATAATTACAATTAGAGATCACGAAACTATAAAAAAAAAAAAAAAAACTTTTTTTTACTACGCTGCAATTATTTATTTGTGACTATATACGGCAGCTACTAACTTTAAAATGTTCCACAACAATTAAAACTGCCCATGCTTGCCACTCATTTGTTTCCTAAACATAACGAGATTTTTATTTCACCCAGTTTTATCCCGTTATGTTTTTTTATATTACAATGAAAGTGATCCAGAAATTAAAAATTTGAAGAGAAATCGTTTGCTGCATTTTTTTTTGGGACACTGTAAAATATTAGGTTTAAATAAAGATCACATATTGTTTGATAAAAATTCAAGTGTAAAAAATAGCCTCTCTACATTTGCTTGTGAGACAGACAGAGTAACTACTCTGCACACCTCTGTATGCTTTTTAGGTATTCTTCAATTGCTTTGAAATTAACTCCAAAGCTCTAAATAGTATATCAAAAGTCTAAAAGTTTAGAAAAACAGTCTACAAGTACCAGCAAGTACTACATACCAAGTGTTAGTGTTGAAGAATAAACAAACAGAAGTCAAGTTCACTAGATCTACCAATGGTATTCTCTCTGAATACAATTTAAGGAAGAATATAAAGATGATTGTAGCGGCGCTATAAATGTAAATACTGGAAGAAGAAAAGAGATTGTCAGTCAGTCACATAGACATTTTACTGAAAAGAAACTAAAAGAATCTAATCAGAATTCATTGATTGTCAACATCATGTTCTTGACCAAGTCTTTTGTGTAGTAATGGATAAAGAACTTGGAGGAAACAATGTGTTGCCCAATATTAAATATCTGTTGATCCTGAAACTTTTAAAGAACTATGTGCAGCTCAGAGAAGCAGTAGGATGATATGAAATTTCTATTTCATTTAACTCTAGTGTTCTGCTTTTTTGAAGAATCTGGAGTATTTCCTTAAGAAAATTTTCTGAAAATACCTAAATTAAATAATGTAAAATGGAATTCTCTAGCAATACTAGCTCTTTTGGCATTTTTTCTTCTACTAAAGAGAAGAGACTCACTAATCGACATTTGTTGATTCATTTTTTACAAATAGCCAGACTATTAATTTTCTGACCAAATGTACAATGCAGATGAATATCTAAAGCTATGTAACAGATTACACTCTTACAAAAAAGTTTTAAACTTAGTGAAAAAGTTTTTGAATAAGGAACCATCAAGACTAGAAATTTCCAGAACAAATCAGTGTGCAGAACAAGCAATTAAGTTTCTTTAAGATCTTTATGACATCTGTAAAAAGTAAAAGAACCTCTAGCTTAGATTTATTTTGTATAGAAAAGCATAAGAATCGTATATTACACTTTAATTAAGCTGAATACTGCACCCCTTATTTTTGATATATACAATAGCTTTCCGTACTTGAAGAATTGTTATTTAAGTTTGTAATTTAAATAACAACAATAGAGTGTTATGTAACAATAAACTGTTAATTGAGTGTTATGATGTAGCAATAAATGCTTAAAAATTACATAACTCTCCTCTCTTAAAAAAACTAAAATTAAAAAATAGTGATCATGTATGGTAAATTTCAATATGTGGTTTGTGGGTGAGCTTTTTCAATAAAAAAATCAAATTAATGTTTTTTTTATTACTTTGGTATAAATATTCATCAATATATCACCCAGGAATATGGGGTCACTAAAAAGATATAACCCTAAAAATTTAATGAAGTAATTAACACTTTTTTTAAAGGTATTTTTAAGAAGTACTTAATGTTTCAATAAAGGCTTACTGTTGTGACAAAAGTTTAAATTACATATACATATAATATGTTAATTATTTACAAATATATTAAAATCAGATAAAATGAAAAAAAATGAAGTTTGAATTTTATAAAAGTAACTTTTTTTATTAATCAAAATATTTAGCTATAGAATAAAACTATTGTTTTAATACGATGTAAATGAACAAAATAATTAGATTTTAGTTTTATAAGTTACATTTGTAAATAATTCAGCAACCAGCAATAAATCATTAAAATTACATACATTCAAGTTTAATTGTTTGGTTACTATATAATGATTGATTTTATCATTTGACTGACACAGCATTTATTAAATGCATGTATACTTAAAATAAGCTAACTTATATAAAAAAATATATTCCTCATATTTAACCATATAATGTTTAGGTTTAACCTGCTTGGTTTTAAATTTTATACTAAGCAAGTTTCTTATGCTGGAATTATCTGTTGTTTAAGCCTATGCTTCTATTCCACTTTTTTTATTTTATTTTCCTACAAATTAAATTCCTTTTAAAAAATTAATAAAATATACTAAGTATACATAAAAATACTGTCAATAACTGTCATAACATTTTTTTATAGAAACAAATGAGATTACAATCAGAAATATCAGTTGGAGGTATCAGCAAGGTTTGATTTGAAACCGCTGAGAAGAAATAGTGTAGATACAAAAAAAAAACTCACAAATTAAATTTTCCTAAAAGTTTCTGAAATTGGGTTATATCAGTTAAATTTTTTTCTCTCTTTAAAATTATTAAATTTTTAATTTTCACTTATTTGAACAGTATGGAGAAAAATATAAGTTCAAATTAGAAAGTTTATCGAATTACAAGTTTTTATGGTAACATTTAATCAAATATGAAGAATTCAAATTAAGGAGATGGGTAATTCTATGTCAAATAACTCAGAAATTTTTAAAATATCACCCTATATCTCAGATTTTGCTGATTTTTACTCAATTGAGAGTACTTAGTAAAATAAGAATTCCTTTAAAATTTAGCCTCTAGCTCCAAAAAAATCTTGAAATATGACCATTTTATATTTAGTAGATATTGGGCAGGTCTCTCCTGTCCTATTAGAATTGCAACATTTGTTTAGAGTTTACATGTCACATAACTTTAAAAATATTTTAAAATATCTTTTATTTAAAACTTTATACCTGACTATTTTCAAGGGTGGCAAATCCAATGAAATGATCAGAAACTTTAAAATTATTAGTAAGTACTGGTATTTATCAATTTATATAAATTTATCTTAATTGTTTAAAAGTCAGCAAAATCTGAGATGTATGGTGACATTGTCTGGGTCATTTGACATGGGATTACCCAGATTCAAGTTAGAAAGATTTTGTACTTTATCATCTCTTCACAAACAATTTAAATTAAACTTTGACAATTTATGCAATTAATGATAAAGTAACTAAACATATTCTGTAAAAAAATGTTTTTTTTCATGCCATTTTTTATTTTTTCTTCCTACTTTTTTTAAGTTTAAATAAATCAAGTATGTAAGGATTTGCAGTAAATAAAAAGACTTGTAATCATTTTTTACAATCTCTTTTCATATATAGGCTATCAGGGTGTTTGCTAAAAATAAATTTTATACAGTGTTTTACAATATTTGGAATTTATATTATTATTATCTTGTTTAATGTTGTCCTAGAGCAGCAACAAAAAAATAAAAAAAATAAAAGGTTATTTGACTTTGGGAAATTTAAAAACCTCATCAATTCTCTGTAAGTTATTTAATTAGTCCTTGACTGAATTTTGTTTTTCTGCCTACTGGAAAATGGCATCTGTTGTTTCAAATTTTAAAACTCTAGAGAACACTCTTACTCCTCATTCAATCAATCTTAGGTCATTGAGTCTTTAAACAACAAATTTCTAACATCTTATCTTGAGTATAATGGTTCTCTGACAATGAATAGGATTTTGATGTTCTTATTTTATAGTCAACTTGCTAACTGCTTTAAGGGCTATTCCATGTGAAAACATCCAATTTTTTTTGAAAATGCAACCCTAAGTCTCAGATTTTGCTGATTTTTAAATCACTTAAAGATTTTAGTAAATTATGAAGTTGTCCTTAATAGTTAAGTTATAGTTATTACAAAAAATTGGAGAGTGGTTTTTTCTAAAACAGAAATAAAAACATGATCAAATCTACTTAAATTTATTGCTTAAAAAACTATTTTGATAAATTAAACAAGAAAAAAAAAATGGTAATTTGACAGTTTTGTAACTGAAACAGTTTTGGCTACATCAAACTGTTCTTTTAGTTGTTGCTGACTAGCTGTTTCTGTTTTTTTAGTAGTTTTATGATTTAGAAAAGTTTATAAGCTTGTAGAATTAAAGTTAGAGTGCTTACTAATTAAACTTACTAATAGAATGTGTTCATGGGGTCAAGGTTGTTCAGGATTAGAAATTTTAACTTAATTAGTAAGCATTCTAACTTTAATTTTACAACCTTATAAATTTTTGAATGAACCATACATTTTTCTTGCATCTTTTTTAGGGATAATAAATAATAGTATATTGATAAAATGGAATCTTGTGGATTTGGAAAAGTTTTAAATGATAAATGTCACAAAATCTGTTTTATTCAAAAACAAGGATTAAAAGATTTTTGTAATCTAGAAAAGGATTTTCAAGATACTTATATTTGGAGGTCTGGCTTGCTTGAGATTACATTAGAAGAAGATTTAAAGTCAATTTGTTTTCATCATAAGCAGGTTTTAGGACCAATATTTCTACTAAAGAATGATAAGTGTTGTTATGTTTTAAAGAGATACAAAAAGAAAGTTAAAGGTAATATATATATATATATATATATATATATATATATATATATATATATATATATATATATATATATATATATATATATATATATATATATATATATATATATATATATATATACTTTCTTTTTGTATCTTAACAAATTTATTTTAGATATTTTAAGAACCAAAGTTTAGGCAAAAATCCATTTTTTGCCAGTCCAGTTGATCAGGCCGATAGCTTTTCCAGGAAGCTGGACAGTATAATGTTCTGATAAAAAAAAATGTAGTGATTAGGCTAGCAGTTTTCTTCTATGATACAAAAATGTTTAAAAAGTGTTCATAGTCATCCTGATTGATAATAACTTATAAGGTTGCAACAACATGTTGCAAACTTGTTGATTACATGTTGTAAACTTGTGCAAAATAGTTTTTGAAATGATATGTTAAACATGTTAGTAAAAAAAAACTAGTTTGCAACATTTATATTGTCTTACCAACTTTGAATAACTCAATTGTCATAATAATTTTTACACTGATTTTTTTGTAGTCAAAAATATTTTAAACATGTTTTTAATTTAGAGCAATTAATTAACATCATTCATAGTTGATGGAGTCCCTTTTTGCACTATAGGTAAAATGTGCTAGTAGACTAGTAGTAAAACATTTGGCTCGCAACCAGAAGGTTGGGGCTCAAATTACCTCTGATGAAATTACTGTCTCAATCTATTACTCCACACAGCGCCTTTGTTTAAAAGTTTTAGTTGTTAATATTGTTTGTTAGTAAAAATGGTAATGTTAAGGATTGAGACAAGATATTTTTTAAAAATGAGTTGCTCCCTTGACTGAATTGGTCATTGGAGCAATAGGGAGATGAATTTATGAAATTAAAAAAAAAAATTATTGTACTCATACAATTATAAAAATTTGGTATTTTGATCGATTTTTAAAAAAAAATCATAAAACCCGAAAAAAACCCATTTGGGTTGGGTTTTTTTAAAAAACCCTGGGTTTTTTCCAACCCTGATTACAATTAATAAAAAATTTATGGTCAATCTTTAAATGCTATGTATATGAAAACAAATGGGAAGCTCAAAATAAAATCAGCTGCAAAAAAGAATCCATTCTTGTTAAAGAAAAGTTGAAAAAAATCTTGTACAAGGCTTGTGTGAACATGTATACAAAAAAGTTGATATGGTATGTCGTAATGGCGAGAAAACATGATTTCAGTCTCGAAAGTAAAAAACTAATATATTGCCTTACATTTTGTACTAATTTTTTGTTCATTAAATCTTTTGTTGTAATATTACTGCTTGTGTTTATTTTGTGCCACATTTTTGTCACCAGGATTTGTATATATATATATATCTATATATAAATATATATATATATATATATATATATATATATATATATATATATATATATATATATATAGAGAGAGAGAGAGAGAGAGAGAGAGAGAGAGAGTTGCAAAAAAACGCGTTTTTTTCCTTTGGCGTTTTTTTGGGTCAAAAAAATGTGTTTTTTTGGTTTTTTTTGGCGTTTTTTTTGGTTTGTTTGGTGTTTTTTTGGTTTTTTTGGTGTTGTATTGCTTTTTTTAAACAATTTTTCAGTTTTTTTTTTACATAAATTTTGGACTAGTTTTCCTTTAATCTAGTATAAATTTTAGTATTTGGCCATTAAAGGCACAATTAGATGTATAAACACCAGTTTAACAAAAAAATTTTATAAAAAATTTAAATTAGCTTTAAGTTAGTTATATATTTAGGTATACTGTATGAAAATGTTTATTTTCTGTTTTGTTGTACTAACAACTGTGATACTCTCATTATATATAAAAACTATTCTTATTCTATAAAAAAGTTACCATTTTAATTTTGATAATGTAAATACATTAATGTATAACACCATGCAAATTTGATATCAGACTTCGAATGCTCAAAAAAATAAGCTATCTATCAAGATTATTAACTTAATTAAGCATTTGTATATTATGTAGTAATTAAGTCTTACATTGTTTGTTTGTTATATCAAAAAAAGAATTATTGCTAGTATGCCCATTAAAAAAAAGCCCTATACTGAACTTAGTTTCAAGGAAAATTTAAAAACTTTTTAATTATTATTATTTACGGAGTTTCCCAGACCCCATTCACCTGATGATTCGTAATTTATTTATTTGTAATTAATTTTTAATGTAATTAAATGTAATTAGAAAAAAAAAAAAGCATTTTTTTTTTCTAATTACATTTATTCATCTAAATATTTTCATATAGCACTATATCAGAACACTTGCAAAATTCTTTAATATGCTCTGTTTTTTAAGTTCAATTTTTAGACATAAAGGCAAAAGAATTGTTTATCTTTTTCTATTTTACTAATTTGGTTCAGAGGTTTAATGGGTGACTAAGGCTTTATTTCTGCCCCCTGTATGGAGAGCCTAATCATAATTCTTTTTGTTCTTCCTGTTGATTACCAACAAGAAAAAAAAATTTACTTAATAATTTAAAGATATCCATTTCTCTTTATATATATATATATATGTATGTATATATAGATATTATGGTGCTTTAAAAATCACTACTCAGTGTTAAAGTATTTTTTGTATTAATCTATTTTTTTGTCAGTATTTTTTGTGTTAATCTATTTTTAGATTCTAATTCAGAAAAGATTTATATAAAATTTCTCTTTATTTGAGTAATAAGTTGACTTTTTTAATGTAAACATTTTAGAGACCATTTAAACAATATTAGGGACCTGTTGAATAGAAATTGAGCTTAAGTATGAACTAAATATTAAACAATTAGACTTGAAACTTCAAATTGTGTATCTGGGATTATTAAATCATTTCTTTCTAACTGCTTTATTATAACCATCATCAAATGTCTACTTATTTATTTCCAGTAACTTCTAAGGTTAATCTCAAGGTTCTATTCTTGGTCCTGTTTTGTTTCTTATCTACATTATTGATCTTCCTGACAACCCTACATCTATAGTAGCTCTTTTTGCTGATGACTCAAGTTTTTACTCCTGTCTTGACAAAGAGTCTTCTCTTTTTGATCACTTAGAATAGGCAGTCAATTTTGTATCTGATCTTACTTCTGTAACAGATTGGGGCTCACATATTTTAGCTTATAAATTTTATTTCTAACTAAACTCAGTTATTCACTGCAAACAACTACCACAATACTGTTGACATTCCTATATTAATTAATGGTAACCCTCTTACTGAGTCTTCTTTTTTACATCTTCTTGGAATATTATTTGCTACTAACCTTTCATGTGCACAAAATATACAATTGATTGCTAAATTAGCATCCCTTTATCATTATCGTTGTTTTCTTACCCTTGATTCCATTTTCTACCTCTACAAATATCTTTTTGTCCCTGTATGGAATGTTGTTGTCATATTTGGGCTGGTTCTTCTTATGATGCCCTTTTTCTTCTAAACAAGCTCTATCTGCTAAACTTGAGCCTCTTTCCCATTGTCGTAAAGTTGCATCTCTTTCTCTTTTCTACAAATTCTATCATGGCGGCTGCTCAAAATAGTTATTACCTCTAGTTCATTTAACAAAAACTCATTCTCGACTCTTTATTATGCTAAGTCTCATTCATTAGTTGTTAAATTTTATTAAATATAATATAAATAAATGTTTATTGTGTCAATATACACTAAAAACAGTAAAGATAAAGTTGAGGAAGATAAAATTATCAAAGAAGTTTTTATACAAGACTGCTTCAACCGTGATAACCTTTAACCGTGTTAATATACCAAAACAAAAATTAATTCAGTAAATTTCAGTATTTATTGTCCTATTTAAATCAGAAATTAAAATATGAATTAAGATATTGCCATTAAAGTTAAATTTAGTAACTTAAACAATGAATTTTTGATTATTTCAAAAAAAAAAAAAAAACGGACCTCTATGTTTTTTTTCCAAAAAAATGACCAAAAAAACAAGAACCAAAAAAACGCGTCACATCTCTCTCTCTCTCTCTCTCTCTATATATATATATATATATATATATATATATATATATATATATATATATATATATATATATATACATCTATATAAATATATATCTATACATATATATATATATATATATATATATATATATATATATATATATACACATCTATATATATATACATCTATACATATATATACATCTATACATATATATACATCTATATATATATATATATATATAATATATATATATATATATATATATATATATATATATATATATATATATATATCTTATACTGCTGAGTTAGGTGAGTATGATGATGTCATACTCACCTAACGTCAAATAGCCTGCTGCCGGGGGCTTCAGTACATACATCGAATAAAAGAAATAGCCTGATTCGCAGTGGAGTGCTGCTACATTGACTTAGGGTTTGGTCAGCAACTTTTTCATTCATTATTCTTCGTTTTCCTTCATCGTTTTCTAAAAACGCTTACTTAATTTAGGCTAGCAAAAAAAGTGAGCAATTGCGCATATAAATATGCTATAGTAGATACTTTTTGATAAGCATCTTTATTTGACATAAGTATAAACATATAAATGTTTTGAGTTTTCTCCATGTCTGGTTAGCTAGCTCATTTGAAAAGTTAGCTATTTCAAACACAAAAAATGTGAATTTTCTAAAAATCTTAATGAATTGTTTTATTTTATTACAAGTTCTTCTAGATCATTTATAAGTTACGTTAATTTAAATTTAATTGTAAGCAAAAAATAAAAACTTTTTTTGCATTAATCATAAATTAAAAATCATCCAAATCATAAAAATCATCCAAAATCATAAAAATCATCCAAAATCATAAAAATCATCCAAAATCATAAAAATCATCCAAAATCATAAAAATCATCCAAAATCATAAAAATCAGCAAAGTGTAAATCATACTTTAATGAGATAAATTGATAATCTTATGGATAATCCAATTGTAAAAAAAAAGTAATTATGATAAAAAATATTGAGTGAAGCAGAACGATTTCTTGATTTTTCGGCTAGGGAGGATCTATATAGCATATTTATCTACTATAGCATATTTATATGCCCAGTTGCTCACTTTTTTTGCTAGCCTAAATTAAGTGAGCGTTTTTAGAAAATGATGAGAGAAAATGAAGAATAATGAATGAAAAGGTTGCTGACCCATACCAAACCCTCAGTCGATGTAGCAGCACTCCGCTACGAGTCAGGCTATTTGTCAGTTGATGTATGTACTGAAGCCCCCGGCAGCAGGCTATTTGACGTTAGGTGAGTATGACATCATCATGCTCACCTAACTCAGCAGTGTATATATATATATATATATATATATATATATATATATATATATATATATATATATATATATATATATATATATATATATATATATATATATATATATATTTATATATTTATATATATACATATAAAATATACATACATATTTTTTAATCATGACAAGTTTCGCAGTTTACATACTACATTTTCAAAAGATAAAATTACAATTTAAAATTCTGGATATAAATACAAAATTTGAAGACATTACAGAGAAATACTAACAGGCAAATAGAATTGTTACAAATCAATAAAAATTATAATACATTATGATACCGTAAATAGCATAAAATAATAAATAATAAGTTATGATACCGTAAATAGCATAAAAATAATAAATAAATGAAACAAAATAGATTGACTAATTTATATTATATTGAACAGTTTATTTATTTAAAGATAGATTTTCCCATTTAACATGGAGTGCTTTTTTAATTTTCAATTTACTTTTGTTTGAAGTATCCAAAATTTTAAAACAATTATAGTTACTTAGGTTTTTACAATTAACAGATGAAATTAAATGCTTGTAAGTATTAGATTGTTTGTCACTTGTAAGATGCTCATGAATCTTTGTTGTTTGGTGTTTGGAGGTTTTGTCCAATATAACTGGCATTACATCCAACACAAGAAAATTTGTAAGCAACATTGGATTGGAGCACCTAAGGAAGTCAATCTTTTATACATAAACTGTATAAAACTAATAATTTAGATAGTGAAAATTAATTATGATATCTTCACAATATTTTTAAATAAATTTAGTATTTCAATTTTTTTAATTTTAGATTTAGTAAAATTTGAGTAAAATATAAATGGAAGTTTATAATATCTTATATTAGGGTTATTAATACTATTTATAACAGATTGATTTAATTTATTATCAACAAATAATTTAATTTCAGTATCAATTATTTTTGGTGAATATTGGTTATTTTTTATAACAACAGATAGATTTTTTATGTCTTTAATAAATCCAAGCCATGTGTTGTTGATTATATATGTTCTATCAATCAAACAACGTATAAGACTAATTTTATAACAGCAGGGAACAAAACTGGAAAAATTTTCTGATATATATATATATATATATATATATATATATATATATATATATATATATATATATATATATATATATATATATATATATATATTTATATGTTTGTGTGTATGTGTGTGTATATGCCAACTTTCATGGTCCTTAACCAGTGGAATTAGTTATCACGCCTTTAACTTATTAACTTATACTACGTGTATGTATGTTTGAAATATTTTATAATACTGTTTATTAAAATGAGCTATAATGTTACTACGGTTTTATTCTAATGTTTTCATAATTGAACTAATGATTGTTTAAAATACAAAAATATCTTTTTATTATTCTTATTATTATTCTTGACAAATTTTTTATTTCAGATGCTGAATACAAAGAGTATGTTTTGGAAATCAGGTGCTGAAACTGATAATGATTTAAGTATTAAGATGTTGCATTAAGGTGAAAAGAATTCTTTCTTTTAAGCATTTTAATGTTGTGTAAGAGAAAAATATCAAACTTATATTATATCTTCTTAAACTGTCTTCGGAAAATCCACTCGATTTCTCAATATTTTTAGTATTGATTAGGTATTAAAGTTGTTTGAAATAAAAAAAAAAACTTGGTATAACACAACCTCGCCGTGTTACAGTTGCTACTGTTGCTAATAGAGTAACTAAAAACTTGGAAGAATATGTAGTAGGATATTCAATTCGTGTTGAAGACTGCATCGATAAAGATTTGATAAAAATTAAATTACTAATGATTATTTGATAAGAAAAATGATGATTTATTTTTTGTTTTTTAAGTACAGCGTTTTAATGTTAAATGAAGTTTACGATCGGACACTTTATATTGACGTTATAACTGGATTGCTTTAGTAAACTTTGTGCCAACAGCCGGAACTTTGATTGATTATTTCTTTCGCTAAACTAGATTTTGAAAAATATCAAAAATATTTTACTACTTCCATTATATGGTGACTTACTCTTGGCTGAGCAATTAAATATTTTTCGACGTACTCCTCCAAATACCAGTAAAAATTTTCATCGATTAATGTTGCTGAAGCCTCAATTAATATAGACGGTTTATAATATAACCAATATCATAACTGGTATTGTTTATATTTTAGACTCAATATCGACGGTTTATACCAAAACCAATGCCATAACTGGTATTGCTTATGGTAAAGACTCTTTTTTTTGTTAATTTAAAAGCATAAAATGCTGCATCAAGATTTAACTCTCTTGTGATTATACCTATATTAAAAGCATCAGCTGATCGACTATCAGGATGATTGTTAGGGAATCGTGCAGTAAAAGCATATCGTCTCTATCCAGAAAGTGAGTTTGATAAGTTTATTCATAATTCCAGAGATACAAAGAACTTATTTAGCCTCCGTTATTTTACAATTAAAAAGTATAGGAATAAGTGAGTTATGAAGGTATTATTGAGAATTTTCTAAAAGCACCACCAGCTCAGGTGATCATAACAATTATAAAAGTTTAAATGCTTTACTTGTGTTCAGCTTTATTTTTATAGTTGGAGTTTACTTGAATTATTTTACGTTAGTATTTTCACTCAAAAATATCAGCATAAAATTATGAGAATTTTCAGACAAATGTAATCCTTAAATTATATTACCATAAGTTAATGCAATAATTTCCCCCTTGCAACAAACATGTTTTACTTTCGTAAGATAATTATAGTTTTCTTTTTATTAAGTTATATAAAATCAGGGCCGTCCCGAAGAGATTTTAATGGTAGGGGGGGGTGTGTGTGACGTATCTATTTTATGCCCAGTAAGACCTAGAATTTTGTTTTTTTCCGACTATGATAAAAAAAAAAGTCGACTGCCAACTAGATTTGCAGATTAAATTTTGCAGACTCCAGTATCCAATTTGCCGACTATTAATTTCCTAGAAAGGTTTGACACCACATACGCCCCTCGGGACGCCTCTGTATATCATATAAGTCAATATTTTGCATTATTATTTTTTTTCATCTTTTAAGAATCTTATTAAGTAATGGAATGTAATTTTTTACAAATACCACACCATGTAATTGCAAATATTAGTGAATGGTTAAGTATTGATGATATTAAATCGATTCGTCTTACTTGCACTACGTTATACCGTCTTAGTTTTTGTAAAGAAGTGCTTCAAAGAATTCATCTCCAACCACGGTGCATCAGTGAAAGATTGATCATATTTATAGAAAAGCTTCTTCATGGAAAATTTATTCGTATGTCGCTTCATAAATTAAATTCAGCTGGTGCTCTTTGTTTAATAAACAAATTACCAAATATTACAGATTTGACAGTAGGAGCGCAACATTTATCGATTGTTAGCTCGTCGTGTAAATTTATACGCAGACTTGCCTTGGTTGATGACAAGCTCGTGTTTATTCCTGAGGAAACAGATGTTTGCGACGAATATTTTCAAAGTCTTAAGTTATTAGAATTTCTATCAGAAATTACATTATATGGTTGCCACCAAGTATACTCAATCGAAGTTATTTCTCAAATTGTAAAATATTCAAAGAACCTCTGCCTTTTCTCGTTAAACTTTCTGACTTTGTCTACCCCTAAAAAAAATAGAAAGCCAATACTTCATGCAATATTGAACTCGAGTCATGTCCGCCATTGGAAATTTCAATCTGTGATGTTTTTGTCCAACTCAGCTATTGTTTTACCTTTAACTACTCTTACGTTTGAATGTATCGACACAATACTATCGCCATTAGATGAGCGACACAACCAAATAGAAAAAATTCTTCTTGATGGTATGATACCCTACAATGCTAAGTTCTGGGGAAAAAATAATTTTGTAAATCTGAAATCGCTAGAAATAAGAAAAGCGTTTTTTTATCATTCAAAACTTCCTCTTTGTTCGTGTTTAAAATTTTTAAAACTGGTTGATTGTCATGCGTCTTTAAAGTATATCTTGGAACTCTCGCGTGCAGTTGAAGTTTCGTTGAAACGTTTATCAGTACAAGCGTATGATTCGTTTGATGATATTGCCATTTTAAAGATATTATCAAAGTTCAAGTTCTTAGAAGAACTCGAATTAGTTAACATGGAAAAGTTAACAATTGCTATATTTTTAGAAATAAAACACAAACATTTAAAAGTTATACGTTTCAAAGGATGTAAAAAAATCGCACTTTCAAACGTCGAGTCTATTAAAAATATGGTAACTTTTCGCATTGATGTTTCTGATACATTTAGAAAAGATTCAAGTATTTTTTTAGTTTGGTAAATTTCTATACATAATGTTTATATAGGCAAATATGATAACAGTTTTTTAAAACAGACAAATGACAAATAACTAATATATATATATATAAATATATATATATATATATATATATATATATATATATATATATATATATATATATATATATATATATATATATATATATATATATATATATATTATATATATATATATATATATATATATATATATATATATATATATATATATATATAGTATAGTATATTTTGGTACTAAACATAATTTTATTCTCCTAACTAAATCTAGTATAATACTATTTAAAAAAAAAAGGAAAAGGTAATCTTAATAAAATGTGTTAAAAATAGTTAATAAATTGATTAAATAATTTTGAAATAAAAATATATCTTTTTAAGACAATTCTGCAGTTATCCAGCAGTAATCCAGCAGTTAAATGGCCTAAGATAAATTTACTTGAGAGCTTTCGTTTGTAGAGAATTAAAACGAGTCAAATGAGTTTTTTGATTTGACCAATTAAAAGCAAAGAAGTGAAAAAGTGCTCTATTTTTCCCCCGTTTATTTCTAAGGTTTGCCCCTCCAATAACGCTGTTTAGTACTCTTGAGTCCTTAATAAAAGGGGGGTTGGGGTTTTAATAAAGGAAGGGGGGTCATTTTACAATATATATATAAGTAATTTTTATAAAAAATTTGACTTTATAAATTAGATTTTATTCTTTTAATGTAAGTACTTTTTGTTACGTGTGTACTAAAAGTAATAATAAAATAAAATTTTATAAGAAGAAACAATGTCATCCAACTCGAGGTAAATATGTGAAATTTAAAAAGAGGAAGTGTTACTTTAAGCTATAAGCAGTGCATTTAGTTCATCTAACATGTCTGTTAGAGCTGCTGCTAAATTTTTTAAAGATAAATAGAAAAGATAAATAGAAAAGTTGAGATTGGTTCAAAAGCAGGAAGAAAAAGTTTAAATCCCTTCCACGTTATTAAGTTCTAGATGCCCCCTGAATCAGGGCCATCCCAAAGGGGGGGGGAGTGTTCTCACCCCTCAAAGCTGTCATATAAGCATTTGAGTTTGATACAATAAACAAGTTTTGAACTTTAGTTGGCAAATTGCAAAAATTGAAGACATTTTTTTTTTGGTGTTTCTAGTTGGCAAAAAAAGACATACCCCTCCCCCCATAGAAGACCTCTTCGGGACGGCCCTGCCCCTGATGGAACCAACTGGAATCCAAGTGAATCTGAATAGACTAAACAAGTGATTGCAAAACTATGGTTTGAGCTTATATTTTAAAAAAACATTGGACCACAATGTTGACAGTTTTTTAATTTTGGATGGCCGCGATTCCCACAATTTTGTAAAGTTTATAGATATGGCCAATTTTACAGGATTTTAAACCAAGGCCTGGTGTAAGCCAATATTGAATCTGATTTTAAATCATGTGGAATTTTTCCATATAATCCTTCGATTATTCCGTCTGAAGCTTACTTGCCAAACTATGCGTATTCTAAAAAAGGTTAGTAACTAATCTCTTTAATCAAACAACATTCCGCATAAAAATACTTTTACCAAATATCGAGTTGGGGCAACATGTAATTACTAGGGATGTACCGAAGCTAAAGTTTTGCCGAAGCCACTTTGCCGAAGCCGAAGCTTCGGCACTATTTATGCTTAAAATTTAATCTTTTAAAATTTTTTTTAAAATTTAAGCTTTTTTAAAATATTTTCCTCAAATTTTCCTACTTCTAATTCTACTTTTTCTGTGTGCAAACCATATTAATGTTATATAGTGCACAATCTCAGTAACTCACATATATTTCCAACTATTCCCAATATTCTACTAAGATTATTGCTATTTTTTTGATCTTTATAGCCATACTGTTCTTCTATGTAAACATCGTTTCTCTTTAATCCTCTATCTAATCATCTAGTTTTTAATCCTCTATTTAATCATCTTGTTTGCTCTATCTAATTATAGTGTGCTAGCTGAACATCCTCAAATTTTATTCCCCATAAATTACTGTTACGCATCTTTTCATGTGCTGTATATTTTATTTTTAATGCACCTTTTGTTAAGAGTGGATAAAAATCTCTGGATATTACTCAAGTAAATTAATCTTTTACACTTAAACACTCTTTCTCTAAATAAACACTCTTAGCTGATCAAGTTGTATCTACAACATAAAAAATCTTACAAACACACTTTATCTTTTTATTGCTATTTATTTCAAGATCTTTTTTTTACTTCTCTGTATTCATTAAACGAACAATTTCTAAACTAAAAAAAACCCTAAGTTAAGACCATTTTGTATTCCACTACAACTGTTGTGAACCTGCTGCTAAAAAAAAGTACAATTGATAGATTTCTCTCTAACTTCTTTTTTACACACTTTTAAGTTGTTGTTGTTTTTTTTTATTATTTTTAATTTTACACTACATAACATTTTCTTAAGCTTCTTTTAATCTTTTACACTCTGAAATTATAGTATTCATTCTTCTTCTGTCTCTGTAATGGATAAATCTGCATCAGTATCTGAAATCAAATATTAACTATCTGTGACAAAAACTTCTATAGTAATCTAACAACTCAGTAGAGTGAGCTTTAAATAAAATAATAAATAGAATACTTTATAAATATTTTATTTATAATTATATTATTATTTACTTTATATTTATAAATAAACAGGGACTGAGCAGGCTGATATTTATTTGATTTAAATTGTTTATTTAATTTAAATAAATTTTGATGATAAATATAAGAGCTCAAAGTAATCAAAGCTTTAACCATTAATTTATTTTAAATAAAATTTAAAAGTCTTCATATCATAAGAAGAAACCAGAATATAAGTTTATATGTTTAATATATAAATTCAATTTAGAAGTATTCATAATATTAATAAAAGAGCAAGGATAATTATTATCATTGTTTTTCTTTTTCTTTTAATTTATATAGCTTTGGTTGACTTTTTTTTCTTTTTTTATTCTCCTCATTTATATTTCATTTGCATTTCTTCCTTTTTTGTTGTTGAGAACTTTATGTTTTTTATATGTCACTCCATTGACTAGTTTGTAACTATATAAGTGACACCTTACCAATTTCTGTAATCTTACGATGAAAATTTGTAAATTTTTATTATTATGGTTAAATAAATTTTAACATACACAGAATTTAAAATAGTAGCAACGTATCTTTAATCTTCTTTAAAGTGAGATTACTAAGGTTTATAGGTCAAATGTTGAAACCAATTTTTTTTCTATTTGCAGTAATCCCACACAAAAATTAATATAAATTCGTTACATAATACAAATAAAGGTTTTTTTTTCCATTTTATTTTTAAAAAATTTTAATTTGTTTTAAATTATAAGGTTTTTATTCAACATAAAAATGCTGATTCAGTTCATCTAAGTCACACTTGGAAGCCTTCAAAGTGTATGAAGACCTTCCCTAATTTTACTATTTTATTCAAAATATTTCTACTTATTTATTATCATCCCCTCCATAACAAGACATTTGGGAGTAAATAATACTAAGTATATGGTATAGACTCCAACTTTAACTCTGTAGTCCTGAATTTACAACTTAATTAGACACTGGCAATTAGCAAATTTTTATAACTTGTACAACAGTAGCTTATAACTTTAATTAAATTTTTTGCCGAAGCCAAAGATTCGGCAAAAATTTGACCTGGCTTCGGCCGAACCGAAGCTTCGGCAAAATTGCCGAAGCTTCGGCATGCCGAAGCCGAAGCCGAAGCTTCGGTACATCCCTAGTAATTACCAACCCAAGATTTGCTACAGCAAATAATCATGACTATTTAGCTGAACCAATAACCATAGTAGAATTCCAGAACTTAGCAGCGATGGTTTAGTGGAACTAAGTATGAAAACTATAAAACTAACAGCTGTAAGTAATAATAACTGCATTTATTAATAAGTTTCAAGACAGCTTTATGATTGCGTCTGACTCTGAAATTGAACAGCCTATTGATCATTTATAGGTTAATCAATAGGCTGAAAATAATGAAATTAATTTCAACTCTTTTAGCTTATGGTTTTGTAAAGCCTAAATTTTTTGCCCCAAATTTCCTTTAAAAAGATTCATCTTATCGAGAAGATAAGGTGAATTAAAAGGAGATTTTCCATATTCAGATGCAAGTTTTGCAAAGAGTAAAAAAACTAAAAATGCAGACGAGTTTTTTGTGCTTACTTCTATAGAAGGATAAAAGTCACAATTGAAGCAGATACAACAAAAAAGTCCAAAATGAAACGGAAAAAAAAATGTGTAAATTGAAGAATGCCAAACTTAAAAATAATGGAAACAAAGGTATTGTCAAAGAATAATCCTAGAAAAATCGTTACTATAGAAATAAACAAAAGAAAGTACAAAAAAGCAATGTGTAGCTTGATTTTGTTGTTATGAATTTTTGTTCTAAGTGCTTAAATACGTTTTTTCTTTCTTTCTTTTAAAGTTCACTGAATTATTTATTTTTTTAATGTAAATATTATATTCTATGCGAATCTTTTAAAGCAGTAGTATTGATTATTACAATGATATTAATTATCCTGATTCACACATAATAGGCTCTTATTAAAAATATCAAACCTAGCTTGGTGTTTTGGTTGTTTTTTTACTAATATGTATACGTTTTTTTTTTTTTTGCTCATAGACAAGGTGGAGCAACTCATCTCCTGAAAACATTTTTTAAGGTTAGGCATCCTTAAGCAGTTTTATTGCAGGCAGTTTAGACAGTTTTGTTATAGGCATACTTAGGTAGTTTTATTATAGGTAGTTTAGGCAAGTTTATATATAAATTTAGTTTAAGGTTAAAAGGAACATGTTCTTAAACACAGGGCCGGCGCGAGTAGGTGTCACGTGGGGGGGTGCCATTACAACTTTTGCCGACTAAAAAAAAAAAAGGTCCTCGTTTTCCAAAATTTGCCGACTGCCATGACGACATTTGCCGACTGTCTAACCTATATCGAAAGGGTCCACATTTGCCGACTAACTAGGTCCAATTTGCCGACTAAGGGTCCAATTTGCCGACTAAGGGTCCAGTTTGCCAACTAAAAATCATT